CTTGCTTTAGAAACTGGCTTTTTGCCAGACTCAATGTAAGAAGCTATCAATGTGGTACTAAAGAAGGGGAAACACCCTCTAACTCCGACTCGTTTTGCCCCATCTTACTGCTAATAACAGATGTAAAATTCTTAGTGAAAGTGCTTACCATGAAGATTGAAGGAGCGCACATACTACATCCCAACCACAGGGGATTCATGTGAAACAAGTCCACTGCACTAAACATATGCAGGGTGTTTTTCAACATACAAAACCCTCTTGTAAACCTGTGAAAGGAGGACCTTACCAGCCCATGACAAAGGTGTTTAAAAGCAGAATGGAAGTATTTTTTGAGCTATCCTTAATAAATATGGGTTTGAACCCATCATTTCTAAATGGGTGAAGTTTCTCTATGCCAGGTCAGGGGCTAGATTCTGAGTAAATAACAATGTCTCATTTACCTACAAAAGGGGTACAAGGCAGGGGTGTCACCTAATGCCATTAATCTTTATCATAGCCATAGAACCCATTGCAATGCACCTGTGGCAAGACTCCACAGAAAATGGGTTCAGGAGGGGGGTTCAAGGAAGACAAAATGGAGCTGTACGTCAACAATACCCTAATATTACTTTCATTACTAGGGAAATTTGGCAGTTTCTGGATTAACCATTTGGGACATGTTCCTGCTTCACCCCTTGGACCCACTCCCAGAATGCTTTAAAATGCATTTAAAAAGAAGTGGCACAGCAGGTCACTTACCTGGGTATTAAAATTCCTCTCTCCATTACTTATTATATTGGATATAAATCAATATAGTAGGATTTCTCATCTAATATATTTGTAGGCCTGTTCCATGATTTAGTTTGACGGAAAAAGCAACCCAGACAATGCATAGAGTCACTCAAATACACAAAAGCCTGGGAGGTCTATCTGCCCCGAATACCCAACTAGATTTTCTAGCCACTCATATGCAACATTTTTATGGCTGCGAAAAAGAGGCATTTTCAATTCTCTTCCCAAAAGATCCCGTTTTACTTGCCTACAGACAAAACCCTTTACATTCCCTTGAATCCACTATGTACATAAAAAAAAAGCAAACATTCTCATTACACTACACGGCTTTTCATGGGGAAGATGCGGGAGACAGCCAAACATTAACTGCACATAGAGGTTTCCACAAGACTTGCACCCATTTGGCAAATGATTTGCTGCCTATGTTCACTAAACCAAGGCTTCCAGTCCTGAAAGTGTTCTGCAGTGGTGTGGAATAAAAAAAAAAAAAAAAAAACAAACACACACCTTATCAAAAGGACTAAAGTGGAGGCCCAATCTACTTGTCCTGATACAAAAATGTATTTTAACCAAAACCGTATATAGCCATGCTAAGCAGCGCTTTTCATTGGTCAGTGCAGCCAGGTGAGTGCTCGCAATTTGCGAGTGAAATTTGAAATCCATGGTGAAGGGCTGCACTGGAAGGCAGTATAGGGTACCGATAGTAGAATACCCGTACAGGCAGAGGGGAAGGACTTTTCATGAAAGGCAAGTATAGCGGGGACAACAGGGGAGTGGGCCAGATTTGTTAGAGAGTGCTGTGGCCCGGCTACCACAATATGGCACACAGTGGAAAAGGGGCAGCGCACACACACACACACACGTCTAATCTAGGCAGTCTTCCCTACAACAAAGAACTGGCCCTGCTGCTTCAACTCTTCTAGATAGCAAGTCATCAAAGCTGGTTGATGTAAAAGCTCAGGATGGCTACCGAACCTATAGAAGAAAGGCTGGGATCCTCCATCTTAACATCCTTTTTGTATAACTCTGTCCATGGCTTCCATATGCCTGAAGGAAGTATTCTCAGAGGGGAAAAAAATCTGCACAAAATACATGCACTTTTAGTTGATGAAACCATGTCCTCTGAAATCAGATTCAAAGTCATGAATTAGGAGATGGACACATCCTAAGAGCACCATGGCCTGGACAAGTGGCGGAGACCAAGCCCAACACCC